AGCAGTTGGTCAAGCAGATTCGCAAGACGTGCCAGACGATATACCCCGCCAAGAGATTCCACGCTGATCGGACAAAAGGAATTGTGTCTGTGGGTTGGAAGCCGATTATCAAGGTGGAACCCAACCCGAACGAGCTTCCCCCGACGGTCGAGTGGTCGGCCGAGAACATCGTCGCCGAGGGCATCGACAAGACGAAAGTCACTGATGCCATCGCTGAGTTCGTGTCAGGACCGCCTCCAGTGCAGTGGCCCTAACATTTTGTTTGCGGCCTGGTGCCGCGCGCATCCGTCTCATGCCCCTCTCTCCTGTGGTTCCTGGAATGCTCGTTCTCTCTTCTACTTCAAACCTCACCGCAGAGACGGGAAGCTCCAATACCTGAAGAAGATGGTAGGCCAGGGTACTCTTCTGGGGATTCAAGAGTCTCACGGCACCCCCGCCCAGATTGACAACATGATATATCGCCTTCGTCTCCCCGTTCGTGCTTTTCACTCGCTTCCCCCTCTTGATCCTCACCCCGCTGGTGGCGTCATCACCCTCGTCCCTGACTTCAAGTCGGCTGGAGCTGAGCACCCGCCGCTGGTTAGGGACATCCCTCTCGTCCGTGGTCGGGCTTTGAATGTTCGGTTGGAATTTAGCAATGGGGCTAGGATCTACCACTATAACATTCACAATTTTGGGCTATCTAGGGCACAACGGGACATGATCATAGAGGCTATCTCCAGGGACCTCGAGGCGGCTTTTGAGGACCCAGAGAGGATCTTGGTCATCGTAGGTGGCGACTTCAATATTTCCTCAGCGCCCCCGATCGCTGCAAACAAGGACTCACCGTTCACGATCACCCAGGGCCAAGACTGGAGGCGCTCGCAGTGCCGCTTCTGGAATCGACTCTTCGGGAAAATGACGGAAATCGAACTGAACGAACCGACTCATTTCAACGCAGCTCGGGGCACGCTGAGTAGTATTGATAGGCTATTTGTCTCATCTCCAGGCTGGTGTCTGACCCAATCATGCACGGGAGGTAAGACGCACGGGCAACCAGAGACCCTCAGCGACACCCTCATCTCTGACCACGTGGGGATCTCGTTCACCATGTCTCAGAGGTCAGCTACCAAGCCAGAGGAGCGTGCGATCCCGAATGAGATTTTCCGTCGGCCTGAGTACCAGGCCAACCTGTCCAAGATTACGGCGCAAGTGGACACATCGCAGCTCTCTCCCCCCCTCCTCATCGACTGCCACAAGACGATGATGCGTGAAGCCGCACGAGCGACCCGCGACGCGATCATCCGACACAAACCTCATGACCCTCTTTCCCGTCTGATTATACTGAGAACGATTTCGAGAGCGATCTGGCAGCAAAACGTCCCTCTTGCCCGTCGTGTGATCAGCGCGCACCCACTTGGCGCCAAGTTTATCCAGATCAGTGCCGACTGTACTCGGGCGGAGCTTGTGGACCCACCGGCCTTCCAGTTGGCTACCGAGCAGGAGCATGGCCGCCTGTTCGAGTCTGCCAAAGAGTTTGCGAGCAAGCAGTTGCGGAACTGCGAGATCGGCCCGTCCAAGGCAAAGCTTCGCCAACGGATCCGAGGTCTTCAGAAAAGAGGGCGCTTATGGGCCCCATTCGACAGAAAACTTTGTCTCCAAGGGATTCGACCCACTCCTGACCCTGAAAGCAACATCAAGTCGATCACGTCCCCCTCGGACATGCTGGATCAGTTGGCTAGGCACTGGGCCCCTGTGTTCGAGGCCAAGGCTACCGATGGTGCTGCTGCTCGGCACTATTTGGACCGCTTCGGCTTCGGAGCCGACCTGAGCGACCTACCTCCACCAACAGAGTTCGATATTCAGAAATGTCTTCGGAAAACTGGTTCCAGCGCCCCAGGGCCCGATCAACTGCCGTATGATGCTTGGAGATACCATCCTGAAGGTTCCAGAGTCCTTTGGAATGCTCTTTCCTGGATGTTGGAGGGTAAGTCGCTGCTTTACGGTTTCAACGAGCTTCGCGGAGCATTTCTTGCCAAAGGAGAAGAGGAAGGAGATGAGGTCCAGGTCCTCCGTCATGCTAGCCAGACGCGGCCCCTTGGGCTGAAAAACGCTGATATCAAAATTCTTACCAATGTTTGTTGTCGAGCTCTCACCCGCCGTCTTCCTCGCCTGGTACATCACACACAGAGGGGATTCATACCGTCTCGGAACTTTGGCGAGAATGTGCTAGAGTTAGATACGATGAGCCGCATCACGTCCATGGAGGAGGATGTGGGCACACGGTTACCAGTGCTAGCTGCTTTCGATGTTGGTCAAGCTTTCCCATCAATAAGTCATGACTGGATATTTAAGATATTAAAATCACTGTCTCTTCCTGGTCCCCTCTTTGGGTTCTTGCGTATGATATACATGGACGTCTGGTGCATGGGAGGGATTGATGGTGGGCCCCGTGTTCTATTTCCTATCGGCTCTGGGATTATCCAAGGGTGCCCTGCATCGGGGATGCTCTACGCGTTATCGTCGCACCCGTTCATGCTCCACTTCGAGGCGCTTGTAGAAACACCTAAACTTGGACTCGTGAGGGCCCGTGCTGATGACAAAGGTAGTGTGCTTTTTAGAATCACAGCCTTGCGAAAACTTTTTACGGTTTTCAAGGCTTGCAAGCGAGTCGCGAACTTAGAACTCAAAGTCAACAAGTGTGTGCTGGTCCCGCTGGTTGGGGATTTCTCTCCCAGGGTCGCGAGGCTGTGTTCGTCCTGGCTCCAGGCCAATATCCCCGAATGGGCCGAGTTTAAAATCGCCAGTTTCCTGAAATACCTTGGGCTTCAGATCGGACCAGGTGCTGGCCAGGCCTCATGGACAGGACCTGTAGGCAAGTGGACTAGTCGCGCCACTGCCATCGCCGCCGCTGGAGCGCCGCCACCGATCACTGCGATGTTATATGACAGTCGGGCGCTCTCTACTTTGTCGTATGTCAGTCAATTCCAGCGGTTGCCATATAACGATATCGCTCGTCAGGAGCACCGATTATTTGAGATGATGTTTAAGATGCCACACTGTTGCCTCTCGCGTGCTGACTGGCTTCACCTCCACGAGTGGGGAGGCCCGAAGGTGAAAAGCGCTGTCCTTATGAATATGGCCACGCTAATTCGTTCTGCTATCAAGACTCTTTCGATTTGGGCCGAACTTTCGACAACTCTCGAAGAGAGAGCGCGTGAGTGCTTGCCCACTGCTGCTTTCATCAGAGGCCAAAGGTACCCATCCTTCTGGTCAAGTCCCTGTCTTGTGCATGAGCTGCAAGAAGCAGCAAATGGCTTCCCATCATATCCCAAGTGGCAGCACGCAGGTCAGCTCGCTATCAGTGCCGCGGCCGATGCTCTATGTAATAACGACAAAGTCCAGAGAGCGGCTCTAGCCCAGCTGTCCACCCATCTCTTTCCCTCGACTCTTGTCCGTGATTTCTCCGCTCGTCTCCTCCATCTCTTCCCAGGCAGTGCCCGTGCGATTGGCAAAATTCCGTGGACTGACGTCCAACGCTGCATCAAGATGTGCCCACAATCGTGGGGCAATAGCTTTGTGAAGACCCTCTCTGGAGGGTGGACCACAGACAGCAGATTTCAGGGCGCTGGCCATGCCTGTGCATTCGGGTGCGGGTGCGGTGACTCACAGGCTCACTATTTTCAGTGCCCCCGCATGAGAGCTCTTTTGAGACGTGTACTCCACATTTCTTTTTTCTCTCCTTGCCCTATCCTCCGTCTCGGTCTCTGCCATCCCACTCCCATCGGATTCTCATACTTGGTGGCCGCGCACCAGCTCTACTGTATCGCCTCCTCCCGTCCTTCCCTCCCGTTGAGTCCTGCCGATGCGGTTGCTTTGCTCCCGACCCTCTCCTCCTCCATCGCACCCCTGTCCCGATCTGCTCTTCAAGAGAGCAGCGCAACGGGAATTAGCAGTATCACAGAATCTTCTCCGCAGGCGCCGGCGGGCGGCGCGGGCGCCGAGCCTGCCGCCGCCGCTGCTGCCGCCGCCTCTAGTCGTTGTAGTCAGTCAGGATGATGAACTCAGACTCATCGGTACGAGCGCAGGAGGAGGAGGAGGAGGAGGAGGAAAGGAGGAGGAAAGGAGGAGGAGGAGGAGGAGGAGAAGTTGTCGGAGAAGGAGGAGGAGGACGAACGTCGACGACGACGACGACGACGACGACGACGACGACGGGGACGACGACGACGAGGCGGTAGTACCTCGTGTCGTAGTAGTCGTAGTCGTGGCTGTCGCAGTCGCGGTCGTAGTCGAAATCGTAGCGAAAGCAGTGGCAGCAGTAGCAGGGTGCGGAGGAGGAGGAGGAGGAGGATGAGGATGGAGGCCCTCCGGGGCCCGCCTGCCTGGGCCCCACAGCGCCCTTCTACCCGCTGGGGGCCCCCTGGGCACAGATGGTTGGGGCGGGGGCGAGGCAGCGCACGGGATGCCAGGGCTTCGCGCCGCGGGTCGCCTCCGCGGCCCCCCTAGCGGGGGTCGCCGCGCCTGCTCTCCTCCCCCGTCCCCCCGGGAGGGCAGGGGGGGAGGGGGAGGGGGCGGGAGGGAGGAAGAGATCCAAAGAGGGGGGAGCGGGCGGGAGGGAGGGAGCGGGAGAGGGGAAGGAGAAGGGGCGGGAGGGAGAAAGGAGGGGGGGGGAGGGGGCGGGAGGGAGGAAGGGGGGGTTGCAAGAGGGGGGTGATGATTAGGGGGAGGTGGATACCATGGCCTGGGCCATGATACTTCCCCAGATGTCATGCCCCCCTTTCTTCCTTCAACAAGCCCCTTGGCCCCGCCCCTCTCGTCCGCGCACGTGCTTCGGGGCATGGTGCGTTACGCCCCCCTCCTGGACGCCCCCGTCTTGGACGCCCCCGAGAAGCTGGGAAAGGGGATGGGATGGGGATGGGGGCGGGCAGGACGAGGATGAGTGGGGGAGGGGGGCAAGGCGGGAGGGGGACGGCGGCGAACCTGCACCTGGGCGCTCGCCTCTGCCTCAGCCGCCCTGCGAGGTGCCATTCGGGCCCGTGCCCCTGCAGGACGTGCTGCTGTCCCTGGCGGTCGCGACTGCCGTGTGCTCGGCCGCAGGCTACTACCTGACAAGGTCTGCGGTCGGCTTCGAAGAAGACGACGAAGAAGACGAAGAAAGTGACAGAACCCCACGCGGAGCTCCAACAGTTCGTGTATAAACAGTTGTTCTTCGAGTACGGTTGGCCACGATGCTTGCCCTTCGTGCAGTCAAGACGCCGAAATGACGAACAGCTCGGATTCGGGTGGGGCTCGCTGTTCCTTTCAGGGACAAAGGCAGGGACGAGACAGGCTCAAAGGGGAGACGCATCGGCCCGCAATTGCCCCTTCATCGCCGGTAGGGGCCAGATAGCCCACCCCCGCCCAGCATGGCGCGGATTTGCCATCGGGGTCCAATCGCCGCCCTGTCGACAGCGCATCGCTGATTCCAGGTCCCTCGATTGTGTTTCCCCCCCATCCTTCGGTCATTCGATGGTTGTTCCTCTAGCGCTCCTCGTGCACCCACGCGCTCTGTGGCCAGAAAGGGGTAGCAGCCTGACTGTAGCAGGATGACCGTGGATCGAGGTTTGGACGTGTTCGCACCCTGTTTGCCCTCCCTCGGAGCCTTCATCGCCACAGTCAGAGTTATCTCGAACTTCTGGGCGGAACGCGCCCAAGGCCCGGGCGAGGACCCGATCTCCGGGAGGTGGACCCCCATATTTTCCATATGTTCTGGGTTTCTGCCTTCCCCCCCACTGCCCATATTTTCATATATTTTCGGGGGAATCGACGATTCATGGTGTCTGTTTTTTTTTCTCCTCCTGAGTGTATCTCGCCGGGGCGAGAGGGGGGAACAGCAGAGGAGGCGTTTGGGCACTGCCGGTGTTTCTGGACACCGTTCCGTGGCCCTCGGGCCGCCACACGACGACGCAGGATGCAGAGCCGGTCCCCAGGGCTGCGTCGGAAGCTCCGGGGGGGCCCTCGCCTCGAGCTGGCGGCTCGAAGACACCGAAGCGCCGGGCTGAGGGTGACGGGCCGATGGTCCACCAGCGCTACTATCACAGGTAGGAGAGGGAGGGGGAGAAGAATAAGGAGGAGGGGGAGAGGAGGAGGACCTCCCCATCCTCCCTTCTCCCCCGTCCTACACAAGGTAGCGGTTGTGGGAAATTGGCCCATCAAAGGCAGGAGGGGATTCAGGACGTCTGTGAATGCGCTGGGCCCTCCTTCGTCGCCAGGGCTAGGGCATCCTTGGGCTTCGGGTCTGAGGGCGCTCCAGGACGGCTCCAGGGGCCGACTTCGGACCCGACTTCGAGGGGAGGGAGCCTCAGATCCGAGCGCCGTGGGAAACTCGCGAGGGGCGGCCCCGCCCCGTCTCGGGCCCCGTGTCCTTCATGGGCCGAGCGGGCTCGAGGAGTGCTGCAGGAAGGTGGGGCCCTGAGCTCCGTTCCTGCTTCGGTCGCGCCGTCGGGATCTTTTATGCACAGCGTGGGGCCCTGGGGCCCGCGATGGTTTCACGAGGTCTTCGGGGCCATGGGGCCCAGAAACAGCCATGCGGACCTGCCAGAGGCCAACCAGCATCAGACTCGGATGGCCACCGGGCCTCGTGATGGAGGCTCCGTTCGGCCGTTTCTGGGCACAACCCCGGGCCGTGAGCGTGGGCCGGCCAGACGCCACGTGACGAGGTGCAGGGCGCTGCTCCGCCTGCGGGAGCTGCTGCCCCGCCACGCGGACCTGCGGGACGAGGCCCTCCCAGACGGGGCGGCGAGGACGACGACGCTGCCGTCGACTCCACCCGTCGCCATGAAGCAGGCGGGGGACCATGAGGCTCACGCGAGGGACCCCGGGCCTGGCGGTCTCGCCCCACGTCTGGCCTCCCGGGGTCCTTCACGGGCCTTGGGGCCGTCGGGAAGCAGCTCGGGAGGAGAGGCTGGTCCTGGAGGATCGCCCCGGGGTCCAGGGCCACGAGGCTCACACGAGGAGCCCGGGGCCAGGCGGTCTCGCCCCACCTCTGGCCCCCCAGGGTCCTTCACGGGCCTTGGGGCGGTCGGGAAGCAGCTCGGGAGGAGAGGCTGGTCCTGGAGGATCGCCCCGGGGTCCAGGGCCCGTGTTCCCCGCCGCGACCGCCTTGGTTCCTGCGAATCTTGTCAGGAGGGCAGAAGCACACACAGACACAGTGAAGCGTCGATTCCCCAGAAGATCTGGGAATTGGGGGGGGAAGACGAAGCTCCAGAACAGATGGAAAAATATGGAGAGTCCTGGGATTTGTGTGTGTGCGTTTGCTTGTGCGTCCCTGGGCCCCTTCAGTCAGGCAGGCTCTGTGGGCCGTCTCTGGAGGTTCGTGTCGCCCACGGTGGTGCCCACGGCCAGGCGCGGCTCGGGGAGGGGGCCCAGAGAGGCCCCGTGGAGGGGCCAGGGCGGGCGGTTTCGAGCGAGCCTCGGTCGGGCGGCGCCGACGACGCCGCCGACCAACAATCGGCCTGGGCCGCCCCCCGCTATGGGCGCGGAGGCGGTCGTCGTTCGAGCGTCGCGGTCGTGGTCAGGTGTTCGTTCTCGTTTTCACTGTTTTGCCGATCGGCGCGGGCCATCGCACCCCACCCCCCGTTTCCCTCCCCCATGGAGTAGATCTTGGCTGTGTTTGGCGCCTGTTTCGAGCAGGCGGGGTGAGTCTCCCTCATAGGACGCACTGTTGCAAGCAGTCGATCTAAGCAGAGGTCCGAAGCCAAAATCCCCCCTTCCCCCCCCCTTCCGCCCAATGCCGAAATGCCAAATAAGAAAACGTTCATCGGGAGAACTGGCCTTCCCCGAGATGGCCACGCAAAGGTGCGCGAAGGTGACCGCGCGTGTCGCGCATCGCGCCCAGACCTCCGACGGTATGAGTTGTTCACAACGTCGGCCCTCCGAGGTCTCAACCCATTCCCCAGGACCGGTTTTGTTATTCTGTTTTTTTTTGTTATGGTCCCGCGGCCCGGCAAGGGTCTTGGGAGGCAGAAAATTGTTGATGTTTCGCGTATCCTACCAGATTTTGTCCAGTGCACGTGCCCGTGCTAGCAGTACGTCAGCCAACTCTGGCCGGCCGTGTTTCTGCTTTAGCAAATTAGCCTCGCCCGTGGCCCGGACGTTGCCTTCGCCACCGAACCGCTGTCTCGTGGCCGCTGACCAAAAAGTATCCCCACCAGCCCCCTTCAGCTTCGCGGCTGCTTTGTGAGCGAGCTGGCCGGCCTGTGCCTGTTGAGTAGCTAATTAGTTTCGGCTGCCCGCTCGCTCGCTTCGCTTGCCTTTCTTTTCCTGCTGCCTAGTCGCGGCCCGACTAGTGTTCGGACGGCTTTCGACCCGCCTCGCGAGCCTGTTGACCAAAAGTACCCCCACCAGCTTACTTTTCCCGCCCCCTCTGCTCCTCTCTCTCTTGCCGTGTCCTCTTCTTCGTTTGTTTTTCTTCGTTTTCTTCCTCGCTCTCGTTTCTGCTTCTTCGATTCGGTTCGCTCTCTCTCTCTCTCTCTCTCGCTTCGCCCCGTGCTTGTCTCTCTTGCGCAGCCCCCCGTAGTGGCCCTGTAAGTTTTCCGTTGCCTTGCACTTGCACGGCTCCGCGCGTCGCTGGACCTTCTGACGCCGCGCGGGTGCCCGCTCGCGGCCGCGATCAAAAGTATCCCCTCCAGCCCATTCAGAGACGATGCCCGGACCGAAAACAGCCGTTCAATAAAAAACGCGCGAGCAGGCCGAACATGCCCAAGAGTGCTTCATACACAACATCGCTTTCATAGAAGAGAGGGAGGACGAGGCATGCCGAAGAGGTTCGGCAGGGTGGCGGCCGTGCGGCCTCGCGCCGAAAGACAAGGAGGAGGAGGAGGAGGAGGAGGAGGAGGAGGAGGAGGAGGAGGAGGAGGAGGAGGAGTTGGAGGAGGAGGAGGAGGAGGCGTTGGAGTTGGAGGAGGAGGAGGAGGACGAAGAGGAGGAGGAAAGAGGCAAGGACAGGCGAGAGGCGGAGGATGGAGGGGGGAGGCCACCTTGGAGGCCATATTGAAAGGGGGGGGCCGTATGTCGCAGAAAGGCGGACCCCCTAACAGCGCCCCCTCTCCGGAGACTGGGGGCGTTTTTGGGAGCTCTTGGGGCCATCTTGGGGCATTTCTTGAGGCATTCGAAGCCCTCTTGAGACTCGAGATGCAATGTTGGGAGTCTCGGGGGGCCTCCTGGGGCCTTCGCGGAGGACATCGATCAAAGAACGGTGGCGTCCTTAACCGATCCCCCCCCCGAAAGCCCATAAAGTCGCCTCTTGGGACGCTCTTGGAGCGCTCTTGGGCGCCATTAGCTTGAGCCATATTGATGTAGATTGTGCCATCTTGTAGGCCATTTTAGGTTTTCTGATCCCAGCTTGGAGTCATCATGGGCCATCTTGGACGCTCCCACGACCCGCCGCCCGCCGCCCATTCCATACCCAGGGGAACGGGTAGGTGGACGGGTCAAGACAACCTCCAGATAGCAAGCCGTCTAGCTCGCTTCCACCCGCCCTCCCAACACATAAGTAACACCCGAGCCTCAGCATGTTCAGCGGTCGTTTTGGATGGACAGCTATTGGGAACCAAAGCCGAGCCCATGTGCGCGACGCTGGGGCGAGGTGCGCCACGCGTGCCAGGCGCGTCACGCGCGCCACCCCTGGGGCCCGAGCGTGCCAGGCACGCATGGTGCGCCAGATGCGCCACGTACCTCCGCGTACGCCAGGTGTGCCGCATACTCCAGCCAGGCCAGGTGCGCCACGCTCGGGGCACGCGCAGGGTTTGTCAGGTGCGTCTGCGCACGTGACAGCACACATCGGGAAACATGTCGGCCCCCGCTTTCCTGATCGAGAACCTATGCCCATCATTGTGTCTGGTGGGCCTGCGCACAGCAGGCCTTGCGCCACCACCCCCGCCGTCCATGTCAAAAAGCACTTGGCAATGATCGCGGGGTGGCCTCGCACCATCCAGACTTAGCCGCGAGGTGCATGTTGTATTGTGGTTAGTGAAGGATGGTAGCCCCGCCGTCCCTTTCCAAAAAAACATACAACGTGCTCTCGGGCCGCATAAGCAAGACTCCAGACTTTACCCCAAATTGTATTGTGTATCGCGTTTTGACAGGGACGGGGGGGGGGGCGCATCGGGTTGGTTGCGCATGCTCCGGATTCGGAGGCAGCGTGGGTTTTGTATTGCTTTTGGCAAGGATGGTGAGGGGTGGGAGCATGGTTCCTGGTTGGCCGCCGGTCGCCTGGAGGAGGGGGTGTATACTAGTAGGGAACAGTGGTCAAGCTTCCGCCCCGAAGGACAGCCGTCTCGCTCACTCCCACCCGCCCTCCCACCACATAAGTAGCACACGAGTTTCAGCATGAGCAAGGCCGCCATCGACCATCATCGGGTACCAATGCAGACGCCAGCCAGGTGCGTGACGCCCGCGAGGTGCGCTGCGCGTGCCAGGGCCCCCCATCATCCTGTGCCAAAAAGATGCGATGTGATCGCAGGGCTCCCACGCATGATCGTTGTCAGAAAGTAACAGCCAGGCTGTTTTGAAAAAGTGGTGATGGGCCTGCGCGCAGCAGGCAATGTGCCGGTGCCCCCATCGCCCTTGCCCAAAAACGAGCCAAGCAACGTGATCGAGTAGTGCCTGCGCATGGCCCAGCGCTTGCCGCAACGTGCACAGCCTGCTTTGACACGGATGGTTTTGGGGGTGCTGATATTACACAGCAGGCAATCTGCCGCCCCCCTCCCCTCGCCGTCCCTGCCGAATTCCAATACAAAGTGATCGCGGGGTGCCCGCGCGTGATCCAGATGTTTGTGCAAAGCACATGTTGTATCATTCCCAGCCCTTCGGCGTTGGGTTCTCGTTTTGAATATAGCACTGCGGTCGCGACTCCTCCTCCTCCTCCTCCTCCTCCTCCTCCTCCTCCTCCTCCATCTCCTCCTCTTCCCCCTCCTCTTCCTCTCCCCTCCTCTTGCCTCCAGCCTCTTCTTGCCCTTTTGCGCTGCTCTCTGGATGGATGCGCACTGCGCGGCTGGCGACTCTGGTGTGCTGTTGGGAAGCTCAGCAGAGTAGCGGAGAACGCGGACCCAGGCGTGACCTCGTAGCTACTTGTGTGGCTGCGAACTCCGCAGCCACCGCAACGTTCGTGGGCTCTTGGGAGGCACGGCGGAGTAGCGGAGTACGTGGGCCCAACCGAGACCTCGCGGTTCCTTGGGTGCGCAATGGTCGCCACGTTCGTGGGCTCCTGGGAGGCACGGCGGGGTGATTAGCGGAGTACGCGGACCCAGACGGGACCTCGCGGCTCCTTGGGTGGTTGCGAATTGGTCAGTTGTCTATATTTTCGTGGGCTCCTGGGAGGCACGTGTGGGGTAGCGGTTTACGCGGACCCAGACGGGACCTCGCGGCTCCTTCGGTGGCTCCGAAGCGTGAATTTGTCGCCAAGTACTTGGGCTCTGGGGGGGTCCAGCGGAGTAGCGGAGTACGCGGACCTAGGCGGGACTTCGTGGCTCCCTGGGCAGTTGCGAATTATGCAATGTCCGCCAGTTTCGTGGGCTCTTGGGAGGCACGGTGGAGCAGCGGAGTACGTGGACCTAGACGGGACCTCGCGGCTCCCTCGGTGGTTACGAGCTGTGTGGTTGACGCCACTTTCGTGGGCGTCTGGGAGGTCCAGCGGAGTAGCAGGCTACGCAGACCCAGACGGGACATCGCAGTTCCCTTGGCAGTTGGAACTTCTGCAATGTATGCCACGTTTGTGGGCTCCTCGGCGGCACGGTGGAGTAGCCAAGTACGCGGACCCGCACGAGACCTGACAGCTCCGAGTGGGGTTGCGAATTGCGCAGTTGTCGTCTTGTTCGTGGGCTCCTGGGAGGCACGGCGGAGCAGTGGCGTACACGGACCCGGACGGGACCTCGCGGCCCCTTGGGTGGTTGCGAATTGCGCAATGGCCGCCATTTTCGTGGACGTTTGGGAGGCACGGCTGGATAGCGGTGTACGCGGACCCAAACGAGAGTTCGCGGCCCCCTGTGAGGCTGCGAATTTCGACAGTATCGCCACGTTTGCCAGCTCCTTGGGGGCCAGCAGAGTGGTGGCAGACGCACACCCAGACTAGACTTCGCTGCGCCATGGGAAGTGTGATCTTGTTGGGACGTTCGTGGGTGCCTGGGAGGTCCGTTGGAGTGGTGTCATACGCACACCCAGACTAGACATCGCTGCGTCCTGGTTGGCTGCGAACTGCGCCACTGTCACCACGTTCGCGGGCTCCTGTGAGGTACAGCGGTATGGTGCCATCTACACATTCAGATTTGATTTCGCAGCTTCAGGGGGGGGGCTGCGAATTGCAAAGATGCAGTCACCGCCTTGTGCTAGGACACGGTCGCTACGTTCGTGTGTTCTTTGGAAGTCCAGCGGAGCGGTGTCATACGCACGCTCAGACTAAACTTAGCAGCTCCCTAGTGGCTGTGCATTGTGAAATTGTCGCCACCCTCGTGGGCTCTTGGAAGGTCCAGCGGAGTGGTGTCATACGCACACACACACAGGCTAGACATCGCAGCTCCCTTGGGGGGCTGCGAATTGCGAACATGTCACCACTCTCGTGTGCTCTTGGGGAGTCCAGCTGAGTGGTGCCACACGCGCACTCAGACTAGACCTCGTTGCTTCCTGTGGGGCTGCGAACTGCGCCACTGTCACCACGTTCATGGGCTCCTTGGAGGTCCAGCGGAGTCGGGGGCCACGCGCACCCAGGCGGAGACTTCGCTGCTCCGTGGTTGGCGGTGAATTGCGCAACTCTCCGCCAATCTCGTGGGCCCCTGGGAGGGCCAGCGGAGTCCGGGAGGGCGGGGGGGGGTTGGTCCCCTGCCTCCCTCACCTGAGGCCCGCCAGACCTTCAACAATGCTCCCCTTGGTCCCGAGCTTGCCGCGCTAGAGCCGAGTGCTGCGCGGCGCGCGGGTGCTGAGGGGAGGAGGGAGCCAACTGAAGAGTCAGAGAGACACCAGCAGGGGGAAGGCGACGCGCGCACCCAGACGGAGACCTCGCTGCTCCTCATGTGGTTGCGAATTGCGCAACTCTTGCCACTTGGGTGGGCTCCTCGGAGGTCGAGGGGAGCCACGGGCCACGCGCGCACCCAGACGGGACATCGCTGCTCCCATGGGTGGCTGCGCACTGCGAATGTGTCGCCACGCTGGTGGGCTCCTGGGAGGTCCAGCGCAGTCGGGCGGCACGCGCACCGAGACGGGACCTCGCTGCTCCTCGGGAGGTTGCGAGCTGCGAACGTGTGGTCATGTTCGCGGGCTCCTGGGAGGTCCAGCGGACACGGGGGTCACGCGGATCCAGCCTGGACCTCGATGTTCCCTCGGGGGGTGCGAAGTGCCCAATTTTCCCACTTTCGTGGGCTCCTGGAGGGCACGGCGGAGGCGTGGACAGCGTAGATCATTTTGAGAAGACCTCTCGGCTCCGTCGGGGGCTGCGAATGGCGCAACTGCCGCCACTGTCGTTGGCCCCTGGGGGGGCACAGCGGATGTGAGGGCAGCGCAGTTCACTTCGAGACCTCGCGGCTCCCTCGGGGGGGGTTGCGAACTGCGCAACCGTCGCCACTTTCGCGTGCTCCTGGGAGGCACGACATATGTTGGGGTAGCGCTGATCATCTGAGACCTCGCGGCTCCCTCGGGGGCTTCGAGCTGCGCAACCGTCGCCTCTTTCGTGGGTTCCGGGGGGGCACGGCGGAGTGCAGGACAGCACAGGTTGAGCCTGTCTCGCAATGTGCCCTTTAGTATGAAGCGTTCACACAAGTAGTCGCCTAGCGTGGAGAAGGGTCTGGATACATCTCGAGTGCTATCGGTTTTAATGGATGTTCGCGGTTGTTTGGATTGCACACAGCAGGCATTGTGCCCCCCGTCCCGCCGCCCCTGCCAACAAACAGATGCAGCGTGATCGCGGTGCATCCGCGCATGATCCAGAATTTGGTGTAAGGTGCATTGTGTATGGTGTTCGTTGCAGTGTATGGTAGGGGGGGTCGTTCTGGTCCCGGGTTTGTCGCCGTTCGGGTGGGCAAGGGGGTGTATACTAATAACTAGTAAGGAGCAGTGATCACGGCACCTCTCCCAGACGCTCACTGTGTGGCTCATTCCCACCCGCTCTCCCAGCTCAGAAATAGTACCCGAGTCTCAGCACATCTGGCGGGAAGGAGGGCCGTATCGCTCACTCCCACCTACCCTCCCACCACATAAGTACGACTCGAGTCTCAGCATGGGCAGCGGCGGACATCGACCATCATCGGGAACCAATGTAGACGCCAGCGAGGTGCGCGACGCCCGCGAGGTGCGCCGTGCGTGCAAGGGCACCCCCATCATTTTTTCATATAACAATGTAAAGTGGTCGCCGGGCGCCTGCGCAAGATCGTTGCCAGAACGTGTGTTTGGATTTGTTCTTCTGACAGTGATGGTGGGCCTGCTCGCAGAGGGGAGCATGCTACCGCAACCTGGACTTTCTAGTTTGTCCCCGGCCATGCCTTGCTTGGGTTCTCGCTTTGAATTGAACACTGCTTGCGCGTCTCACTTCTCCCGCCTCCTACCTCCTCCTCCCCCTCCTGTTCCTTCTCCTTCTCTCTCCTCCCGCCTCCTGTCTCCGTGCCTCCCTTGCTCGTAGTTTTCCTACTGGGGAGATTCGAACTGCGCAACCGCCGCCACTCCTGTGGGCTCCTGGGGGGCACGGCGCAGTGTCGGGCCACGCGGATCCCTTTGAGACCTCGCAGCTCCGTCGGGGGCTGCGAACTGCGGATCCGTCGCAGCTGTTCGTGGGCTCCTGGGAGGCACGGCGCAGTGCATGACCACGCGGATCCCTTTGAGACCTCGCGGCTCCCTCGGGGGCTCCGCGCAAAGGTCTCCACGTCCGTGGGCGCCTGGGAGGCACGGCGGAGTGCAGGGTGTACGCAGCGTTCATTTGAAGAGTTGCCTCGCGCAGAGAAGGGTTTGAGTACGTTTCGGGCAATGGAAAAGGATAGGTATGGGGGTGTGGTCATGGTTCCCGCTTCGCCCCTGGTCAGGCGGTGGAGGGGGTCAATATCAATAAGGGACGGTGATGAAAACTTCCCCGACGGAAAAGAAGGAGGTTGGAAGAGGACACGCTCTAAACAGCTACGCCCAAGAGGGATGCTGGGATTGTCAGAAAAGCCTCCGTCCCGATGGGTTGACGACTCGAGGGGGTCTGGGGAGGTGCGAAGCTGGGCGGGTTCAGACAACGGCGCGATTGGGCGAACACCCTGTCCACACCGCGAGAGGACACGACTGCAGCGTTGAACCCCCATCTCGCCGTTCCTGTGTTCGAGCTGGAGCGATTGCGTGAGGGCCGCGGGGCCCGAAAAACGAGGCTGGACCACCGGCTGCGAAGAAAAATGGGACGCCGCAGGACCTCGGGGGCGGGCGGCGACGAGGGCGCGAATCCAGGCGGCGCGAGGAGGGTTTGCAAAAAAAAAGGATTGCAAAAAAACAAACAGAGGAGGGGGAGCAGGAGAGGGAAGGAGAGGATCAGGGATGGCGGACGACGACGACGACGACGACGACGACGACGACGACGACGACGACCACGACGAGTGGCCGCGCGCTTCGCGCGCCGCGCGGCGCGAGGGCGCGAAGCTGGGCGGGCCCAGGGCGGCGGCGGCGGCGGCCAGCGGTGAGGCCTTCGAAGACGGGGCCCACCTGGCCGCCGCGGGCGAGCCGCACGAGGAGGGCGCAGCCTCGCTGGAGGAGGCCGGCTGCGGTGGCGGGGCGAAGAGGCCCTCCGCCTGCCATAGGGGGGCCGGCCTTCCCGGTTGGGGGGGGGGGGTCGGGCAGGGGCGGGCTCGGCCCCCGGGGTCTTCCAGTGCGGGGCCGCGCCTGTGCTTCGGGAGGCTGTGCCTCCCTCGCTTGTGTTGCCGGGGCGGGTCCTCTTGGAGTACGTCGCCCGGGCCCGTCGGTTTCGCAGATCTCTGCTTCGTCACGTGGGAGCCCTGTGCCAAGAAGCACCCTGCTTGCCCCCACGGTGCCTGGGTTGTATGGGTTCCGATGGTTTTGCGATGGGTATCGTGGCGCTCCCACGCCAAAAATCAATGGACGTCCTGGGGCCTCAGGGTTGGGTTTCTAGTGGAAGGTTTCTTGTGGTCGGGCCCCTCTGCCCCTCGCCGCTGACCCTAACCCCCAGAAGGCTGACCACCACTGGCAGGCGGATCACGAGGCCCCGGGCCCCGCGCCGGCGAACGGTCGCCGAGCTGCTGTTTATCTCGAGGCGCTTCGCGAAGTGCGCCGCCCGCCCCACGAGACCCAGAGGGGGGGGGGGGGGAGGGGAAAAACGTGCCTGTGGGCAGGGGGGGGGGCAGGGGGGGGGGGGGGGGAAAAAACGTGCCTGTGTGGGGGGGGGGGAGGGGGAAAAAACGCAACACGTGCCGGGGCACCGAGGCTCGAGCTCGCCACGCACAGTCGGCGAAGCAGGGTTCGGGCTCCGGGGCCATCGCAGATCGATCCGGCTCGGAAAATGCCGCAGGAGGATGGGGCTGCCGTCGTGATGTTCGCGAGGTGGCAGTTTTGTCGCAAGGACGGATCGATCCAGCTCGAAAAGTGCCGCAGGGAGCTGGGGTGTGGGGCTTCGGTCGCGTCAGGCTGCAGTTGCAGTGTGGCAGTTTTGCCGCGCAAGGTCGTGTGGTGGGGGGAGTTCGCCGACCGTTCGGTGTTCGACGGTGTTTCGCCAGACGCGCCGAGCGGTGGCCCGAAACGACGGCCCAGGCATCCTCGCGCCGTGAAAGAAGGCGCGTCGTTGGTCGCGTTCGGCCTCCAGCTGGGGGGAAGGGGGTCAGCAGTGGACAAACACACAGACACAGATAATCATCGATTCCCAGGACAATCTGGAAAATGTTAGCAGTGGATGGGAAGACAAACATTCAGGCGACATGGGAACGTTGAGGAATCCGGGCATTTGTGTATACTTCTGTTTGCGTGTCCCTGGGCCCCTTCACCGGGGGCCGTCAAGAACTGACTCGGGGTGAAAAGCTGGTCCCCAGGAGGTTCAGACCTCTGGGGAGCAAAGTCGTGAAAAAGCAGGGCGTCGGATGTCTGGAGGGCCGGATACATGCCGAACGAAGTCCAAGATGGCCCCGCAAGAGGGCCAACAGGGCCCCTGGCCAGTTCGAGGGCCCAGGGAGTCGGCCCAAGAGTCAGCCCAGAGCATTTATTTTGGCCATTATGGGCCCTTCAGGGCCCCCCCTCGGGCAACCTTCAGCTATGTTGGGACCTCCAGGGCCCCGTTTGCTCTTCGTTGACGAGCTCGTCGCCCGCCACTCTTCAACGAAATTCTGGAATTCTGGGCAGAGGGTGATTGACCAATTCTCCACCACCACCACCACCATAGGTAGGACGGGGTGGAGGGAGGAGTGGGAGGTCCTCCTCCTCCTCCTCCTTCTCCTCCTCCTCCTCCTCCTCCTCCTCCTCCTCCCGCCTCCTCCTCCTCCTCCTCAATCCTTTCTCTTTTTACCTCGCTCCTCCGCCTCGGTCCTCGCTCCTCCGCCCTCGCCTCCCCGCTCCTCGCCGCTGGGGGGCAGCCCGGCACCTCTCACGCGAGCCCTCAGACCGTGGCAGGCGGCGGTCGGCGGATCTCCGAGGGAGCCGAGAGCGGGGGGGGGCAGTCCTCGTCGTGCTCCTGCCTCACGTGGAAGCTGGAAAAAGTGACTGGGCGCATTGGAGGCGGAGGAGACGGAGGAGGAGGAGGAGGAGGAAAAACAAAAAAAATGATGATGAACGTTATATTTGGAGGAGGAGGAGGGGGAGGAGGAGGAGGAGGAGGAGGAGGAGGAGGAGGAGGAGGAGGAGGAGGAGGAGGATCCTTCCAGCCCTGGCCAGCTTCGCTTTCTTGGTCCAGCCCTGGCGACCGCATCCCTGCTGCTCCGTGCTCGCCTCACCTCCTGCCGCTGCCTCCAGTCCTGGCCACCTCCACCTTCACTGATCTTCCCAACTTCCACTTTTTCCGGCTTCCCTGCACTCCTGCTCCCCAGGGCTCCGACGCCGTTGGGCGTGCCATGCTGGCGGTTGCTCCTTGCCCTTTGGCACCCGGCAGCTTGTTTTTCAGGCCCAGGAACTGCCCACACGGTCGGACCGAGGCATCAGATCGAGGTCGGTGCGGGGAGGGTACCTCAGTGTTCTTCGTGTGCGTTGGATGCTCTTGTGCATCCTGGGGGTGGGCGCCCTCGAGTGACCTTATGGTTGGGGGTGTTTTGGTCCACGGAGGCATGTTGCCAGGCATGTTCTCTCGAAGGATCTTCTTCTGGCCTATCCGACTGCAAGCCTCCCCGAGCCTCCTTGGCGACTATGGCAGACTTGTGCCAGCGTTCTTCCTTTGCTGTTGGCCTCCGGAGGCTGCTGCCCTCGGGCCCCAGGATCCGTCGCAGCACGTCCACGTTGCGAAGGTCCGAAATCAGCGAGCGAAGAACGGTATAAAATAAACTGTTTCGCCATCGGAGACACCTGCCCCTGGGCGGCTGGAAAGTTTATACCCCTACTGTGCCACCGTAAGGGTATAAACTTTCCAGCCGCCCAGGGGCAGGTGTCCCCGACGACGAAAAAAAATATGTTATACCGTTCTTCGCCCGTTAACGAAAGCTCCGTGGCAGGGGTCGGGGATCGAAAGCTCCAGGCCCCCGCGCCCTGCAGCAGCACCGGGCCTCCCGAGCGCGGCGGCGCGACGCCCGTCGGCTCCCCGGCCGTCGTCGTCCACAACGCCGCCGTGTCCCTGCTGGCCGCTGTCGCCTGGGCGGCGGGCTCCCCCCGCCTGGCCCTCCACGCCTTCAGCCTCGAGGCGGCGGGAGGGCGGGAGGGCAGACCAGCTGCAATCCAGGCTCAAGTCGGGCATGTCCCTCTACTTGGCATCGCTCGGGCGTGTGCATGTTTTTTTCGGCGAGAACCATCGAGGACCATCCTGGACCATCGAGCAACCAAAAACACGCACGAAATCTAAAAATGCACGGGAGATGGACGTCCGAGCGACGGCAAGCCTATATGAGGAATATCCACAAGTAGTGCAGAAATAGTCTGGGGACGATCTTTCGATTCTTGTTGGCTCTCTTTGCGTTTTTGTTTGCTGCGTTCTTCCAAAATCCGCCTGTAGGAGAACATGCCCGACCTAAATGGAGGCCTTCCAGACGGGGCCAGAGCAGGCGGGGTCGGATGGTCGCGCCGCATCGCCGATGCGTCGGCGGTTCGGCTAGATGTGGAGCCCCCTTTTCTCCACGCCGACCTGGCCAATGCATCGCCGACGTCGCCGACACGTCGCCGATGCGTCGCTGATGCATCGACGATGCGGCGCGATGCCCCGACCCCATCTACTCCGACCCCATCTGAGAGGCCGTTACACCCTCCTGGGGGACCCATCGGATGCAACACCCATCTCTCGAGAAATCGTCAATACGGTTGACTCCCCCAGGGGGTAAGTTAAACAGCCCCCCAAATCAACGCGCGTCGGAGAGGGGAGGAGGAGGGAGAAGGGGGGATCGAACAAACAGGCTCGGCAAGCATCAACTTTGGGAGCAGGAGGATCGAGGGTCCAGGCTATGTGTGCGCTTGAGGGGGGTCCCTGGCCTTGGAGGCATCCGGGGAGTCCTGGGGCCTTTTGCCGGGGGTCGACTTAAACGGTGTGTTGACAGTTTCGTTACCGTATTCGTTCCGATGTCGTTTTGCATGAAGGGCGGATGGAAGCCAAAGCGAGGACAACGAAATCAAACAAAAACAAAAAACATTGTATAGGTCGATCCCTGCCTCCTTGCATGGGGAGACGTCTGAAGAGCTCAACGGGGGGTCAGAGGGACCCAGGCCCCCGACCTCATGATTGATTTCCAGATCCTGCGTTGCTCCTCGGTTTCGGCCCCTCTCGGTCCAGCCGCAGGATAAGGGAGGAGGAGGAGGAGGACAAGGAGGACAAGGATCCGTCTTCGGCGTTCAAGGCTCTTGCGCTCATGCTGTCGCTTCTGACTACATAGTTGTAAACGGCAGCGGGAGGCGATGAATCATTATTTATGTTTGCGGTTCTGTGCGGTGCTAAAGGTTTCGCTCTGCTAAATCCGCCCCCGAGAATCATGTCTTTCCGCTTCGGTGCTACAATAACACTGGAGAGTTCCTTCATCGTTTCATTAGGTTACCCTTAGAACAACTCGTTGTCTACGTAGACCCTTCCGGGCCGCCGAATGCTGGGGTCCATCCTCTTTCTCCTCCTCTCCTCGCCGATGAGGTCATTTTGGGGACCAATGCCGTCCATCAAGGACACCTCAGTCGGTGGCACAAGAGAAAGCAAAGCAGCGAGAAGAGCATGGATGTCAGGTACAATCAACCCGCATAGTAAGGATGAGCGATGTTCCGAGGTTACCATTTCATCCTTCCACGGCGGCCCATCCTTGGCCGCTTTCGCTGGCCGCGCCCCGCTCGCAAAGTGCCCGCATGGCCTTCCAAGGCCCTTGTATCCTCCTCGTGCGTCCTTACTATACGATTTGCCTGTACAAAACAACAGGTCAAAGATGAACACCGTCCTCCGGGAAGGACTCTCAGGGACCCCGCATTGACGTCAGAGGTCCGAGTAGGAAGTGGAGGAGGAAAAAAAGGATCGAAGATACAGATTTCTTTATGGTGCCCTTCCGGGGCCAGGGAGGCCATCGGATACGTCGGCGGAGGACCTCCAATGGAGGTGAGGGGGTGAAGAAGAAGAGGAGGAGGAGGAGGAGGAGGAAGAGAAGAAGAAGAAGGAAACAGAGGGAAGACGAATAATCAACAGAGTCATAAGAAGTATAACCATGATGATCGTAGCGTGGTAGTAATCCCGATAAGACGAATTTGGGTAAGATGGTTGCATTTCTTTGATCTTTTCTGGTCATGTGGGAGGCTCTCTTCGCCACGGATTGTCTCGCCTTGCAGTTTTGAACGCCCTTCGGGAAAATGGAGTCGAGGATTTGAGGAAATTCGGATATTTCTGCCCTGAGGAGTTTGAGGTTTGCCCCCCCCTTCCCCCTTCTCGTCGCCACGGCAGGCCTCCCGCCGACATCCTGCTCAGAGCGCGCCCAAGGCGACAATGTTCGGGGGACTGGGGTCGGATTCCAGGAAGGATGAAGAGGAGGAGGAGGAGGAGGAGGAGGAGGAGGAGGAGGAGGAGGAGTATAGTGATGAAAACTGCGGGATCTCCTCATGGAGCTTATCGCGCGTTTGGGCGCAGCTGAGGCCCCAAACGGGGCCCCGTTCCTGTAGGACGGGGACGAGGGTCAGGAGGACCCCGGAGGTGGCCTACGAGATCTTCGACACATTCAACCTCGGGCCTAGCCGGTTGGAGCCAGAGTCCCTCATGCGGGGAGCCCGAGGGTACACCTGCACCGCGCCCTCGGCGGCACGGAAACGGGAGGAGAAGGAGATGGCGAGCCAGACCCCCTGGCGATTGTAGAAAGACACGCGGGAGTCTGTTGTCGCAACGTTCAACCTCCAGAGGCCCGTTTTGGGGCCGCGTGCTCGTCAGAAAACTTCTTAGAATGAAGAGCTGATTCGTCGGGTTCAGTGGGAAGAGGGGAGGAGATGATGACGGGAATGGTTCGGGCGGGAGAGGGGGGGGGGGGATAATTAGGTATCCAGCTACGTTCTTGCGCATATGCGCAATCGCGTTGAGTGGGAAGGGGGGCGGCGGCCTGAGGCTGCGGAGGGGTAGTTCCACGCTTTTCTACCCTCGACCTGTTTTTCCCAGCCCTCATGTTCTGTTGGGTCCTCGTTTTGTATCCGCAGCGCCCCGTGTCCCCTCGACTCCCGCCTCCCCGCCTTGTCCGTCTGCCACTGCTCTGTGCAAGCCTATTCCGGCACACCCGTGACAAGTTCCGCAATTTCTGGAGAATTTCAACTACTATGCTAGGTGGCGCGACCACACGGCACCGCCGCACCCATGTGGGCACGCCCCTCACACGTTTCGCTTCGTACCTTTATAGGTGGACGCGACACCATGGCATGCCGCACTGTCGTGGGTGGGGAACTCTAAATATAGTGTCAGTCGGCGCGACCGCCGCACCCATTGCTGCACACCTGTGGGCGCCACCGCGTGACACCGCCGCAGCGATCTCCGCGCACCCATCCTACGTTTCGTGCCCCTTGGGGAATGCCAACTTCCGTGTCGTTGGGAGCGGCCGCGTGGCACCGCCGCGCCAATCTCGGCACACACATCACGCTCCGTGTTACCACTCGCACACCTCATGGCCACAATAGGGAATTTCCATTATGGTGCCACCGGCGGCCATCGCAGAGCACCGCTGCGCCCACGTGGGCACACCCCCACCACACGTGGTGCCCCTTGGGGAGCTCCCTCTGCGGTGTCAGTGGGCGCGGCCGCATGGCACCGCCGCGCCCAGTGGCGCACACCGCTCGCTCTGCTTGGGCCCCCTTGAGCTCGAAGTACGACGTCAGCCGGCGTGACCGCATGGCGCCCCAGCGCCCACCTCCAGCACACCACTCACGCGTTTCGACACGATTCGTGCTCCAACCAGAGTGACCCACGCTGTGTCCCAAATGGGCGCGACCGCGTCGCACTGCCGCGCCCATGTCGGCACGCACCCCTCTCTCACGTTGCGTGCCCCTCTGGGAGCTCCACCTCGACGGTAGCGCCGCGCCCATTTCGGCACGCCCTTCAGACGGTTCGTCCCACGCGCAGCTACATCTACGGC